CAGATGGAGTCGACCGATATTGCCAATCTCCGAAATCGATCTAAGTGTGATAATAATATTACGATGTACCAAGTTTGGACCAAATCGGATACACTCTTTGAGAGTTATAGTACGCACGAGGCAGCCAGAGAGACAAACGGACGGACATCGCTAGATCGACTCCAAATATCCTGAAACGGATTTGGTCCAAAGAGACCTAGGGTCTAAAACCGTTATTTCGACTAGGCGCGTTTTGACTAATCAAATGATATACACCACCTCTAGGCTTATGGCTGAGGGTATAAAAAAGTGGTTGACAAATATTAGGGGTTGCTGGAAAGGGTGACAAGTGTCGATTTAATTTGTTAATACCTTTAAAGGGAAGGGAAGTAAAGAATTTGTTTAAAACTTCGTTAATGAAGCCGTAAAGGACATTGTTATTGAAAAGGAATTTAAAAATTTCATAGAAAGCGAAGGTGATATTTAATTTCAAATGTTCACTATATCCTGAACGTTAGCCATGGAGGGCCAACATTATACATGGCTTGTGGGTGTCTCTACATGGAAATAGTTTCGAAATATATTTCTGCATACCACCCTGGATTGAGGCTATGAAAAGTAAACGCCAATTTTTCTTAATAACCCCAATAATATTTGGTCAACCATCCTTCATTGAAATGTAATTCAATTTCCAATTAAATTGGAAATTGTTCTAAATTAAATTAAAAACCAACAAGTGGTGATGGAGGTGATGGCGACAATGATGATTGAATGTGTATTTGTTCAAATGCGAGTGTGTGTATGTATGTGTGAGTACGAATGTTATGTTAATAGCTACAAATATGTATAAATTACACTTAAGTACATAATTCATTGTTACTTGTCTTTGTTGTTTAATTATTATTTGTTTTATTTCTAAATATATTTATCTAAATTGTTCAGCAGTACAAAAATTATTATTCATTGCAATATATATAATTTTTTTTTGGTTTTACTTCTTTTTTTTCTTGGATTTGAATTCATTATTATTTGTTTTTTTTGTTTAAATTTTTTGAAGTTTCCATTTCATACAAATATTACTAAACTAAATTGTTAATATTATTTAGACTAACTTTAATTAGGTTTTCATTTTCATGTATTTAATTTAAATATTTTGTTTACTAATATTGTTAATTTTTTTCATTTTGTTAATCAGGTTTTATATTCTTTTAAATGTATGACTTTCACCATTTCTTTTTTCTTCTTCGTCAATTGGATGATAGCACTACCCCTTCTCTCTTTGCTTATGTCACATTTTGTTTTTTCTTGGTTTCAATGAAAAATGGGATAATTGGTCTTAGTTAAGCTAAAGGACATTTTCTGTTCGATATATTCTGCTTTCATGGATATCAAGTGATGCACAACACCCTCAATCAATGATTATGCCAGTTTCGATGATGATAACTTAGCTCTAGGTTTCTGTCGTTTCTTTTTGTTTTTGTTTTTAATGTTAATTTTTTATACACACGCAAGCAACACTCTTTATGGCCAACTACACTAGTTGTTGTAGTTGTTTGGTTTCTGTCATGTCTTCAATGAACTAATCGCTTATGAATCATAGGAATTTCTTAGTTTTCATATTGGTTCAAATATTATTGACGGTACTGTTTGCTATGTTGTTGCTATTGTAGATGATAGTTTTAGGTCAAACTTTAGATAGGAAACATTGAAGTATTAATATTGAATAAAGTATTAAAAATTTAAAAAAAATAATTAATAAAAAAAATTATTTGAATGATTTCCCCAGATCTTTTATGTAAGAAAACATAACCATTCTCGTAAAAATAAGTTGTTTTTAAAGAAAGTATTGAAAATGCACAGAAAATCAACAAAATTCGTCCTTCAAAAAGCTGAATAAAAAATCCAATATTTTTAACCACTTTTAACTACAATTAAAATCTTCTTCCAAGCCGTTTCCAATACCTCTGAATGAACCTAGAAAATCTAGAACATGTTGACTGTGAGACAATTAAATGGGCATGGTCCGGAGAGTGGGTTAAAATCAAACCCGATATAGTTCCAATATGGAATATCGTAATATTTAGAAGAGGTTAAAGTCAGCTCTAAATGGGGACAATATTGATCAACCCACACATGTACCTCTTCCAAAAGAAGGTCATAATCAATGCCTACAATGAATCAACTGTGAAAATGGAACATATCGGTCCACTCTGTCTGGTACCTCCTCCACTAAAGTTCAAAATTGTCCAAAGCCAAAATCTCATATTGACCGAAGAAAAGAGCCCATACAGAAGATTTTCATATTTACAGATGAGTAGAGAAGGTATTCCTGCACCTTCCTAAAAAAAAATTACATTTTGAATAAAAACAAGATCTTTCTTAAATAGGGAAATAAATATCCATTTTTTTTTTTTCAAAAAAAAAAAAAAAAAAAAAATTATATGTTAGCAGAAATTCGAAGTGTTGACTCTCTATGGAGTAGTTTCCGAAGGAGTAGGAAAATCGTATTATTTCGTATCGGACCTAAGTAAATATGCGACGTACCCCGTTTGGGATATATCAACTACTACCTTTACTTTATAAGAGCTATGTTATAATTTTTAGCAATATTGGTATGGCGAAATTACAAGAAAATCGAATGGAATATTTTTATATTTGTGGTTGAGAGAAATATTAAGATATACAAAGTTGTAAAGAATCGCTGACTTGTTTGCAAGTTATGACAGATAAAAGTATTGGAAATTGTGATCTTTTGTGGGTGAGGTACCAGTATGGCTTCGCAAATATATATCACCTTCACAACAGAAGGTGATATATAGATGTTTGGATGTGTTACAGTTGAAGAAAATTGGAAGCTTATTTCGGATTTTATGATCGTTTCGGCAATTCAAAATTTTGAACCTTTGTGGAGATCTCTACCATCTTCATAACATATATCTTGTGTTGAAAGAATTATTGAGATGTGCAGAGTTTTAATAGAATCGGATGTTAATTTCGTGTTATGCGCTTCATGGATATTACCAATTTTGACCCTTTGTTGGGGAGGTACCTCAAGGAGAGGACCGAAAAAAAAATATTTTGATTTGTGAAATTTGAAGCTAATCGGATTCTTATGTCAAATTATATAAGTTATAATCATTCAAAATGATGAACCTTTATGGGGAAGGTACTTAATGGAGTGGGCTGATATTGTTCATTTTCGCTCCTGGCTTGGCACTGATGCAAATATCCTTTCCATTCTCTTTCTGTGCAGCATTTTTTTTTTTTTTTTGCAAATATCGACATTTTGTGGGGATGTACTAGAAGAGGTGATACCAGATCCGGACTCGATCTATGTTTGATAGTAATATTACGATGTACCATATTTGGACCAAATCGGATACAACCTTCGGGCGCTTCAGCCAGACAGACAGACAGGCAGACGGACGGATGGGCACCCCTAGATCGACTCTAAATGTCCTGAAACGGATTTGGTCCAAATCGTTATTTCGTTGAGTCAAGTTTTGGTCGTATCAAGCGATGTATACCCAATGTAAACATATGGCTGAGGGTATAAAAAAGCCCCAAAATAAAATGCTCCAATTTTCGTTTTTTACTAGAATTCGAGTGAGTTTTTCAGAGGTCTGAGCTAAACACACCACTCACTGAACCACGTTTATGTACATTAGTCGTATTTTCTAAAGTTTTTCTTTGTTTGTCGTTGCCGAAAATTGAGGCTATTTTGAAATATTGGGGCTATGGGTAATGCATCCAAAACCTTTATAATACTTGAAAAAAAGAGGAACCGTTTCATGGGCGGATAAAATAGCAAATAGTGGTTGTGATGTGTGTTTGCGAAGAGTTATTTTCCTGCTGAGAATCTGAAATCTGTCAATTTTCAGCTGAATTGGTTGAAAAAAAGTTGAATGAATCCTTGACCGAAAATATGGACCCGGAGATATCGTTATGTGGAGACTATTACAAAATCTGTCAATTTTCAGCTGAATTGGTTGAAAAAAAAAATGAATGAATCCCTGACCGAAAATATGGACCAGGAGATATCGCTATGTGGAAACTCTTACAAATCGGGGGCCGTTGTAGCCCATTTTCAATATAAATTAATCCAGACCTAGGCCAAATTTGTAGCCAAATTTTAAAGTTTTAGTTGGCAAAAGTAAAAATAACAATATTTTAAAAATCTGGAAGTTCCGTTTAGTTAGGGCTATACATATATTGAATATCTTTTGGGAGGAGTTAATATAAACAAAAAAAAAAATCCAAAATCTAAAATTACTGATAGTTTGATTGGAAATTGGGACGGGTTACAGTTACATGAGGGCTATAGCTAAACGTGAATTGATTTATTTTTCATTCCCTGGGAATAATATAATTGGCTGTGTAAAATTTCAGAACTCTGTCTTCAACATTGATTTCAAAACTAGCACGGACATGGCTAAATTGACATAGAATTTTACGTCAATCATAAATGAATATTCGGTGAAGATTTCGTGGGATCGTCAAAGGAATGCCAAATTTAATATATCCCTCATTTTTTGGTGGAGGCTACAAAAATGTGGAATGTTTCCTAACTTGCAAAAAAAAGGGAGACAGCCGGATATCATAGTTAAATCTAATTAGTTTTTTTTTAATACCTATATTTTATGAAGCTTCAAATGAATTTTCGGCATGACGAATTTAATATTCCCCTCCATCTTAGGAGGAAGGGGTATAAAAAAGATGTACGCCGAAAAAACTCCTCACATAATTCTTATCATATCTTCCAATGGCTTCCTGCGAATTATTTTAATTTATAACAAAGACTTATACTCAAAATTAAAAAGACCAACCCCAAGTAAAACCAATTAAAAATGCTATAAATATTATCAGTTACCAATAATATTCTGAACTAAAGCCGACATCCCTGTTTATACACAAAAAGAAGCCTTTTTTTCTCACGCCAGGACGAATTTTGTGAAAATTTCATTTTACCTTATTTTTTGGAATAAATTTCAAAATGAAAATGTATATATTTTCCGGGATTACCATGTTTGGGTTATCAGTCCTATTGTCCTTGCTTATGTGTGTAAAAGGGGTATTACATATATTATGTTTATCTGCCTATATATGTGTGTGTGTGTTGTCGGAAATTTTTTTTCTATGGTTTTCGGGTCAGATTAAAGTTGTGTTTTGTGTTCGCTTAGCCAGGGCGATAAATTAATTTATAAAATATATACCTTATTAGATGTGTATATATATATATGTGTGTGTGTGACTGTATACATAATATGGGTTTTTGGGGGGATTTGATTATAATTTTGTTTGGCTGTTTCCTAAATAGTTGACCGGCCGTCTGACCATCCATTCATTCATTTATTTGACCATAAAATCCCTTCCAACAATAGGCTTGGCCTTTCTACGACTCTCTATCTCCATCTCTCTTTCTCCCACTCTTATTGTTCCACTAAAAATATATATATTTATGAACTTATTTAGTAGTAGATATATATAAATATATATTTATTTATATATGTGCATGTTTGGTTTGGTTTTTTTTGTTACTGTAGTTGATGTTGTTGTGTTTCAGTTTAGTTGATTTCGTTTGGGCATTGTTGTTGTTGTTGTTGCTGCTGCTGTTTGTTACCTTATTTAATATTGTGGCTGTTGTTGTTGTTAATTCTGGTTCTGGATTTTCATGAGATTTATGGTTTTCCCCCAAATTTTTCTTTTTCAATTTACATTTTTCTCCGGTTTTTAATTCGTTTGCTAGAGTGTTGTTCTTGTTGTTATTTCGTTATAATTTTTATATAGTTTGATTGACACTATGATGGAAGAACAAATAGATTATCCGTAGTAGAACTAGTAGTTGCTGTTGTGGTCGTAGTCATCGTCTTCGTCGCTGTAGTAGTAGTAGTTGTTGTTGCTGTTTTAGTACCAGTCCCTGTTGTTGTTGTTGAAGTTGCTTTTGTTGATGATGTTGTCGTAGTTGCATTTGTTGCTGTCGTGTTGGTTGTACTTGTTGCTGTTGCTGTAGTTGTCGGGGGCAATGCTGTCACATGTATGACGGTTGTGGGCGTTGATGCTGTTGATGTCCTTGTTGTTGCTGTTGTTGGCATGTTGTAGCCTGCATTATTAAGCTCGACACGGGTCGTTATTAGCTTCTGCTAAAAATCACTACTCGTCGATGGATTACCTAAATTGCTCTCCACCGTGTCATCCTTATGTCAGAGCGGTGGTTTGTAAACTTCAATGGCCGGCGTCAGCATATCCACACGGGTTGATATTGAAGTATCACTGGAAGGAGATGGGGAAAAGAGGAGAGGTAAATTATAGAGAAAGAGTGGCATTATTTGAGGTAGTAAATATTGTATCAGATTATTTATTTTTCGAGAGTGTAAATTTGAAATGTGGTCCTCCATTACCTATAGAAGAAATTGAGGTCTTCTACTAGCTATAGAAGACCTTGAGGTCTTCTACTGGCTATAGAAGACTTTGATGTCTTTTCTTGTCTATAGAAGACCTTGAGGTATTCTTTTGTCTATAGGAGACCTTGAGGTCTTCTTTTGACTATAGGAGACCTTGAGGTCTCTTATGAGACTTTGAGGTCTTCTGATTTTGTTGCCTATAGAAATGCTTGAGGTCTTGTACTGGTTATGGAAGATCTTCTGCTGGCTACATTAGACCATGATGTCTTCTACTGGCCATGGGAGACCTTGAGTCTTTAATTGTCTATAGAAGACCCTGAGTTCTTCTATTGTTTGTAGGAGATCTTGAGGTATTTTATTGTCTATAGGAAACCTTAAGGCCTTCTATTGTCTATAGGAGACCCTGTGGTCCTCTAGTGGCTAGAGAAGACGTTGCGGCTTTCTACGGGCTATAGAAGACCTTAAGGACATCCGCAAGCTATAGAAGACCTTGAGGTCTTCTAGTGGTTACCCTAAGGTCTTCTAGTGGCTATAGAAGACCATCCGGTCTTCTACTGTTTTTAGAATACCTTGAGGTCTTCTGTTGTCCATATGAGATCTTTGAGATCTTCTACTGGCTAAAGAAGGTCTTGAGGTTTTCCACTGGCTATAGACGACCTTGAGGTCTTCCTCTGGCTATAGAAAACCTTGAGGTCTTTCACTGGTTATAAAAGACCTTGAGGTCTTCTACTGGCTATAGAAGACCTTGAGGGTGATCGACATTTTGGTATTTTTTGGTGCCAACCTTGCTTTTCAAAATACTCCAGACACAATAGTCCAAGGATTGGTATCCGGAGATTTTGTTGGCCATTGGGCGCTGGAAATGAATCGAGGAATCTCATTTTTTAAACCATTCCTGGGTGGCGCGTGCTGAGTGCGATGGTGCTGAGTCCTGTTGGAATGTCCAAAGTCTGCGGCCAAAATGTTTGCGTGCCCAGGGCTTTAATACACCCCCCCCCCCAAAAAAAAAAAAATCGCCATAACATTCGGCACTTATTCTGATGCCACAGTCGATTAATATGAGCGGAGAGCGACCATCGGCTGTTATGGCGGCTCACACCATCACCATGGCCAGCGCTTGAGTTCTGGTGGCCAACCGAAGGTGCACTTTTTCAGCTGACCTCTTTGGCAAGTAAACACGATCATTTTGTTTGTTTACAAACTGCTGCACAACGAACGTTTTCTCATCGAGATAACCAAGTTCGGCAGTTCATCACTTTCGGCAAAGTGAAACAACTCTTTAGCTCTTTCTAGTCTATTTTCTTCCTGTTGCGGTGTAAGTTCTTGCACTTTTTGGAATTTCAATGGCTTTACCACGAGCCCATTTTTCAATATTTGTCGAATGGGGTATTGCGATATGTTCAGCTCACGAGCCATTTTTCGGCCACTGCGACGTTTCGCGGGTTTCGATCAAGTCGCTTCTTTATTTTCGAACCATTTCTGCTGATGTTGCTGTTTTCTTCCGTCCACTTCCTTAACGTCGGGCTATGCTACCAGTATCACGGTAACGAGCTATGGTACGAGACACAAATGATTTATTTACATTTAAATGCTGGAGTGCTCTAACGACAGCCACTTGCGGTTTTCCGGCCAAATATGAAGAAATTACACCGCTTGAATTCCATCACGAATAACTTTTTTTCTGGAAATTCTCACCGAAATGCTTTTGTACGCTTGTAAACAATATAATAAGCTGTCACTGGAATAATTTTAACAGCTTTCGGACTAGTGGCTTCGAAATGACAGCAGTCTGAATTTGGTTGCAGTTTTTTCATATCATCCTGTATAGATGACCTGGAGGCCTCCTGGCTGCGAATTTATGCATTTAAAGAATCCGTCCCACTTTTAAATCCATTGATGTCTTTAAAATCACAACAGACCAGCACATCAACCCAAAAAATTGTGTTAACCTGCCATCGAAACTATTTGCACGAGTCCAAATGGGAAATCATGCAACATATTGTCGGTGACTAGCCGTTGTCCTCATTCCACAAATGGAATTCGTTAAAATTCCACTGAAAGCAAAAACCCAAAATCTACAAATAACCGATGCTTTTGTATGCATTTCCATTGATTTGATCCACGTGACTAAAACCTCACATTGTGTTAAAGCCGCATTTCGTTTTGATTAAGTGAAATGTGTTTTTTTTTTTCGGCTCGGCTTGGTTTGGCAAGAGAAAATAACTGTATGACGACCAGTGGAATGGTGTCATGGGGTGGAATGGAAATCGATGATAAATTTTCGTTTTAGAATAAATAAAATGGCTATATTATCGTTTGAATTTTCATTTTTGCCCCCAAAAATTGATCAAAATTCTGATTATTAAAATCAGGAAATTTAGTATCCCTATTCTAATACCGCAGCGTAATAGAGAAGATAGGTATTTTTCCATCTCAAAAAAATTTGCGATTATGAGCCTTTAAATTGTAAATATTTATACCCTACACCACAAGGTGGTCAGGATATTATGTCTTCGTGCATTTGTTTGTAACAGGCAAAAGGAAACGATATAGACCCATAGTTCCTTTTGATGATCTGCATAGAATCACATTCTGAGTCGATTTATGCATGTCCGTCCGTCTGTCCGTCGATGTATTTTTGTAAACAAAGTACATTTCGCATTTATTGCCCGATCCAGATGAAATTTTGCACAAATCATTTGTTTGGCCCAAGGACGAACCTTATTGAAATCGGAGATAATCGGGAAAAATTTAGATTTAGCTCCCATATATATCCTCGTCCGATTTGCCTTTTATTTGTGCAACAAACGTGTAATATCAGCCCGAACAGTATGGAATTTTGCACATACTGCCAAATTAGGCCTGCAAATAAGTATGCCAAATTTGATCAAAATCGGTTAAGATATAGCTATAGCTCCCTTATATATTGTTCATCCGATTTGTTATTTTTGTCCTCCGCAGCCGAGATATGCACTCTATAACAACCATATTTAGGGAAATATATCAAATAAAGCTCAGAAATAGCTTTGCTAAATTTTATCGAGATCGGTTCAGATTTCAGATATAGCTCCCATATATAATTTTGTCCGATTTACCTTTTATTGTGCACCAAACGTCTAATATTTGCCCAAATGGGATGGAATTTGGCATTTATGACTGAATAGAGTCTAGAAGCTAGTATGTCAAAATTGGTGAAGATCGGTTGCGATATAGCTATAGGTCCCATATATATTGTTCATCCGATTTGTTATCTAAAGCCGTAATATGCACTTCGTAACAACAATATGCAGGGAAATATATCAAATACAGCTCAGAAATATCTTTGACAAATTTTATCGAGATCGGTTCAGATTTGGATATAGCATCCATATATATCTTTATCCGATTTCAAATTAATTGTGCATAAAAACTTTTAATTGTTATGTGGAGCTCTAGTAAATTAGCAAAGTGGTGTAGGGTATCATAAAGTCGACCCCGACCGAATTTAAGACATTCTTTACTGTTTTTTTCTTTAAATTGGTTTCACTCCACCCTATTAAAAATCATCACGAAATGTGATTCGAATTTTTTGTGTTGGCATGCGTTGCCGAACAAAATTGCAACATCATCGAAAAAAAACAGAGAAAAAACGTTGCCATGCGAGCCGGCATTCATGGCCTGGGTTAATTCGGTGTGACTTGTTTGTTTAGACCTACCTGGCCCAGTGCAAAATCAAACACAATCCAAATTAAATCCAATCAAATCACGAAACATGCCAGGCCATGGAAACTAAAGTTTGCAACAAAATTGAAATCGTCAACAAAAAAAAAAAAAAAGAAAAAAATGTTGTGATGAATTACTTTGCTGGCCCTAGGAGGCCGATGGCAACAAAGTGACCAACAGAACTAACCTATATTCATATTTTTATGCCCTCCACCATATTATGGAGGGTATATTGAGTTTATCATTCCATCTGTGGAAATCACTCTAGCTTCAGAATGAAATGAAGTAGGTTGATAATATTTTACTAAAATATGTATTATTATGTCTGCAGGTCCATGTAGGTCCACGTCTTCGTATAGCCATCTGATTGCGGTATTTTGATGATTTTAGCTACATTATTTACCGGAATTGTATCAAATTTAATATTTAAAGTTCGTAATAGATACTGCGGCTTAAGACAGAAAATTGGCCATGTAGGTCCACGTCTCCCCCCATATAACGGTACCCCCCTATATTCGGTATTTTGATGATTTTAGCGACATTATATGTCGGAATTGTTTCAATTTTGGTATTCGAAGTTCGTAATGGATACTACAGCCTATGACAGGAAATTGTCTGTGCAGGTCCACATTTTCGTATAGCCCCTATAAAACGGTACCCCCCGATATTCGGTATTTTGATGATTTTAGCGACATTATATATCGGAATTGTTTCAATTTTGGTATTTGAAGTTCGTAATGGATACTACATCCTACGACAGAAAATGAGCCATGTAGGTCCACGTATCGTATAGCCCCCATATAACGGTACCCCCGATATGCGGTATTTTGATGATTTTAGCGACATTATTTACCGGAACTATATCAAATTTGGTATTTGAATTTCATAGTGAATACTACAGCCTGTGACAGGAAATTGTCTGCGCAGGTCCACGTCTTCGTATAGCCCCCATATAACGGTACCTCCCGATATTCGGTATTTTGATGATTTTAGCGACATTATTTACCGGAATTATTTCAAATATTGTATTTAAAGTTCGTAATGGATACTGCAGCCTATGACAGAGAATTGTCTGTGCAGGTCCACGTTTTATAACCCCCATGGTACCTCCCTATATTCGGTATTTTGATGATTTTAGCTACTTTATAAACAGTTTTTTTTCAAGTT